TAACTTTACATGATGACTTCCAATGTCCGTGATAAACACATAGTAGTGCTCATGAGGACAAGGGGCGAGTTGAAGAGTGCATCATCAATTGAGATAGTAATATTCATCGGGACCGTTGTGTCACGCACAAAGCCATATTAGAATAACTCATTATCCGACTTACCCGACACGTTACCAAGTGTATTATCATCGACAATCCACGAAGAAGTTGTGGATTCGCTGCAAGTTCGACTTAAACACCGTTTGCCATCAACATCATGCAAAGGGATTGTTGCTACCGGGCTCACACTAAAAATGAGCTCCCAATAGCACACATATTCTTCTGGTCCCACATAAAGCGAGAAGTCTGAAATGACAGCACAATATGCAACACCAATACCGAATCGGGGAAAATCAACTTACCGACGAGCTTGAGCATCGTAGCCTCTAGGCCATTAAGCTCAGCAGTCGAAGTCAGACATCCAACCTCTGCATATCTTCTATTAGCATAGTAGAAATCATCATTGAACTTGACAGCTAGTAGTAGGGAAGTCAAGAATAGTCTGAATACACAACGTGGCATATGAACGAACATGTAACAATATGACGGCTTTACCTGTAGACGTTGTAACTAGTGACATAGAGAGGAGTCATTGTAGTGGATGTGGCCTTGACAGCCCGGTCGAGATAGACCAGTGCTAGCACAAAGCATTCCGATGAGCAATGGAAGAACTTGGACAAGCGGTGGAGGTAATTCCACAATGATATACTGACACTTCGATAGTAACAGCGAAGAAACAAAAATGAATACTAGTGACTTACAAGGCGTGTACGTGCCTGTAAATTCCGGATGACTGACAGAACTGTGATCTAGTATTCTCTGTCTTTCCATATCATCACCGATTTCCATCATACTCGCCAAAATAGCCATCAGACCTCGAAGCTGAACAGCCGACAATCGAGTTGACGTCTCACACCAGCAACACTTACGAAGACTTCTCCTTCGCTATCTACAGTATTCTCCAATGAAACATCATTGCATGTTATCCCAGCACCTAGATGCAATATAATGAGGATGCTTGTCGGTATATTAGGCAAGACCTTATTACCAGCATCAGGAGTGTACATCTGACCATATGAACTCCCTTCTGCCTTATCATGCTTCTCATCATCACTTAGAGAAGGAACAAAAGACTCACAGTGTGGCAGACGGCCAATATAGACGACATCATCGGGAACAAAAAGGTCGCCACTTCCTTGTAGGCCTTCATACGAATGATGATGAGTAGGATGGAACCGACCACAGCACGTAGTAGTCCCAAAAGGATAGGTCAGTGAATGATGGTTGTGTGGACCGATGAGCATATACGGCCACGATAGTACGCCTGGCTGCTGCCGATACTGCCACAATAGACTGCAAGTAGCCGGCACAGTAGGAGCCCAAACTATTGACCTATCAATTTGTTGTTGACATTGGACGCCAGACCAAGGGACTTCTTGACCAGGCACTGTGGACGTGTACGTCCTAGTATGAGTATCTACAACTCCTTCACAACGTGAAGATGACCTCAACTTCCGTAAAGAGCCCTGAGGGCAACCATGGGGATCGCGACCGCATCGGTGTGTCTTTTTGCCACCATGCCGTAGTCGGGACCGC